TGATAAGGGCTTCATATAAAGGTCATATGCAAGCTAATCCAGATCAAAAAGGAAGAGGCTACCCAACAGGAAAATGGGCAGCAGAAGGAAAAGAGGGAAAAGTGTAGAGACATTGCTGCAGCTGCTCAGAAAGACCCTCCAGTTTGCTAGCAGCCAGGGAGATGAGAGTTAGTGCTTGTGAGATCCTTTCGTGTATATCACTTTGGCTGGATGCACAATGGACAACTATAGACAAAGGTGGACTGCCACCACCGCTGGCGGATCCCATGGGGGCCAAGCTGTAGTAGGTAGTGCTACTGCACTGCAAACAACTCTGGTTTTGCTGTTTTAGCTCAGGGAGGAGACATAGCACACTGGGGAGTTCACTGATGCTGTAGGCAGCAAGAGGCAGGTGGACCAGGAGAGGTTCCTGGACCATCCCTGGCATCCAGGCCTCCACTATGGTGTGTGCTCTGTCTGTGCTTCCTCTGTGGTGAGGTTTTGTGCCTGTCTGGGCATGTCCAGGCCACTTCCTGAAAGCACTCTGTCCCACCACAAGGACCAGAGTTGGCAGAAATGACCTTAGGACAGCAGATCTAGCATCAAGTTTGCATAGGGGAAAGGGCAAGTGGGTGAGCAGGCTTGGGGCCCCCTCAGGACTCCCAGGGTCCTGGGTGGGGTGAGGGTGGGGCGGGTAGAACTGGGCATCATCTTTCTTGTCATCTTTGTGTGTGTGTGTGTGTGTGCGCTGTGAATGGAACGCAGGCCTTCTGTGTGAGTTTCTGCCTTGCCTTGGTCTCTCCCAGGCCGAGCCTAGGTAGGGTCTGTGATAGTGTGATGAAAGCTGCTTCCCCTGCAGACCTTACTTCTTGTTCTAGGGAGCGGCAGGCACCTCCAGCATTCCCAGTAGAGCCATTTCCTGAGACCAAAACCCATGGGAGCTTTCTCTGAATCTCCTACTGTGAAGGGACCTGGTGGTGGTGACCCTTTCCTTAACGGACTCGAGTGTAACATCTTTTCTATTCTAAATGAGGTTTCTAGAAATTAAGACACCGAATTTTTGGGGTCTCCATGATATAGACTCTAGACTGATAGTTAAGCAGACCCCACTTTCTTTGTTTTATTTGTGCCAAGCACTGGGCCTTGAACTCAGTATCTAGGTGCCATCTCTTGGCTTTTTCAGCTCAAGGCTGACTCTCTACCACTTGAACCACACATCTACTTCCTTCTTTTTTTTTTTTTTTTTTAGCCAGTTAGTTGAAGAGTCTCATCCCTTGCCTGTGCTGGCTTCAAACTGGGATCCTCAAATCTCAGCCTCTTGAGAAGCTAGGATTACAGGCAAGAGCTATTTGTGCCCAGTCCACCATTTTTTAAATTACATTTTTCCTATTGTTATAAAGATGATGTGCAGAGGCATTATAATTACATAAGTCAGGTGAAAATATTTTTTTTTTTTGAGAAACAACTTAGTGCTTTGCCCTTTGCCCTTCTGCTGGGAAGAGGTGCTATTGATCCTGAGCATAAATCAGGATTCTTAGATTTCTTGCCCACATTCATCTTTTTTTTTTTTTTTCATGGGGCTTGAACTCTGGGCCTGGGCGCTGTCCCTCAACTCTTCAGCTCAAGGCAAGAGCTCTACCACTTGAGCCACAGCACCACGTCCAGTTTTCTGGTGGTTTATTGGAGATAAGAGTCTCACGGACTTTCCTGCCCAGGCTGGCTTTGAACCGCAATCCTCAAATCTCAGCCTCCTGAGTAGCTAGGATTATAGGTGTGAGCCACGGTTCCCGGTGTCCATGCTCATTTTTTATTAAGTACCTAGCCTGAGGTGCCTGGCAGTCTCTTCAGAGGATTTTTTTGACTGGTTCCAATGCTACACCTAGAGAACTTAATGGCTCAGTCATTTCATGTTTGCAAGACATCATTCGTGAAGCCTATAGCTGCGTGCTTCTCTAAGTCTGTGGCTTACTGTAATTAGACAGCATGGTTCCTGGATGATGTTGGCTTGCTTCCTCATGGAAACACCCACCTGAAATGAGGTATACAGTTATACTCTCTGGTGAGGCTGCCAGAGATAAATGGGCATTTGGGGACCCCTGCTTGTTATCTTCTGTGAGACCAGAACTGAAGACTAATATAACGTGATGCAACAACTCAACAACCGAACTTACATTTCTCCCCAAATTCCATACCAGAAAAATATTTCCCTTGAAAGCGATATGCTTTCTCAGAGAGTTCGTTGCTTGGTTCATTGTTTTGGGTTTCCATCTTGGCTGGATCAGCTACTGATTAGTCTCCCTATGTCAACCCAGTGACCTCATCACTTATCAAAGGATAATTATGTTCTCCTGTATCGTGGGACTAATTATCCTTTGGGACCTTTTGGCTCATGACTTTTTTTTTTCTTTGCAAGCACCAATAGAGACGTGAACTCAGGACCTTGAACTTGCCAGGTGGGCTCATTTAAACCCATCCTTCAGCCTCCCTCGGGACATTTTGATGTAACCTCTCAAATAGATACTGTAGATAGCAGACAAATGTCAGATTTTACTGGCAAATCCCCCATGATGCCATAATTGGTGTCCTGGTGCTGGCGCCGTGGTAATCTAACTGTTTAGCCCGATGTCCTTCCCAGCTGCAGGCAGGAATCGGAAGAGCAGGTCTCAGCCTGCTTTTCTCTCGGACTTAGGTTGCACATCTCAAGGAGCCCACACCGACCTGTCAGGAGCGTTCACCATGACTGTGGTTGCTGAACTTTGATTCGGTGACTCATGCCCCGGTCTCCTCCCGGCCTTAGGCCGGTGGCTTGCTTCCTTTCCTTTTATTTTTAACTCAAAGCCCAGCTACCTTTATAACCAAATGTGACTCTGTGTACAGCAAGTGGCTTCTCACAGGAGTGTGGCCGGGCTGGCCTGCCTCCCCTCACTCGAGCCTCCCCTGTCTCCTCACTCCCACCCCCAGGGGCCCAGGCCCTGACTGGCAGGAGGACGTTCACCAGAAGGCAGGCATCCATTGAAGACTCCCTGCTGGTGAGTGCTCACAATCAGCTCATGAATCAGTCAACGTGGCAGGACTGCAGACTTCGGCCCTGGGGTGGGCTGGGAATCAGTGGACCCTGGCGGGGGGGGGGGGAGGGAAGTGGGCAGATTAGAGAGCTGTCCTGGAGGGAATGTTTTCCTGGACTAACTGACTTCTCAAACCTGGAATTATCTGAAGAGTTCCAACTACACAAATAAGGGAAGCAGTCTTTAATTTTTTTGGGGGGTGCCATCTTTATTTGATCATTATTTTATTTTAGTCAGGATTTGGTTGGGGTCAGGGACAGTAAACTCTTCCATTTAAGCCAAACCTCTGGCTACTGTCTTTACAGTTACTTCAAGGCCATGGAGTAGAATTCATTTTACCCCATCTCTGTGCTCACAAAGGTGTCCGCGGGTCTCCGTGTTAGTTTGTCGGGGTCTCCGTTCCTTGCCTGAACACAGAGCAGGAGCGTTTGGCAGTGGCCCCTCACCTCATCTCCTCTGATGGCTCCACAGGCGCTGAGTAGAATGCAGGAGAAAGCGAGCTACCTCTTAATCTGATTGTGGTAAAGATAATTTGGGGCAATTCCCTGCTGTCATAAAACAAAACCTCAGCTTTGCTCCCCACACCCCAGATTGTGGATTTTCTCAAGGCCAGATGATGCCATCTTGGAGTATATAGGTAGGTCAGAATGTACAGTAGAGTCATTCTGGGATATGCATTATCCAGAGGGTAATATCATGTGACCCCTAGTGACCCTAAGTAACCCACAGCAGCAATGAAAAGACCAGAGGACCTGTGTGAGAAGAAAACAAAAGGCCATGTTCTTTTTTTTTCTTTTTTTTTTTTGTCGGTTGTGGGGCTTGAACTCTGGGCCTGAGCGCTGTCCCTCAGCTCTTTAGCTCAAGGCTAACGCTCTACCACTTGAGCTACGGTGCCACTTCTGATTTTCTGGTGGTTTATTGGAGATAAGAGTGTCACAGACTTTCCTGCCTGTGCTGGCTTTGAACCGTGATTCTCAGATCTCAGCCTCCTGAGTAGCTAAGATTATAGGCATGAGCTACCGGTGCCTGGCAAAAGGCCATGTTCTTAATAGCACTTGTCACAGTAGCCACAAGGTAGAAACAACCCAAGTACCCATTGGGCACTTAGATACTTATACTGTGTGGAGTATATACCTAGGAGAGTATCATTCAGCCATGTGATAAAGGAACGTCTAATACCTGCTACAACATAGATGAATCTTGAGACATGATGCCAAGTAAGTCATGACTAAAGGACAAACACTGTATGATTCCACTTATATGTGATCAAAAGGGAGATCAGGCCACACGCGGTGGCTCACACTTATAATCCTAGCTATTCAGGAGGCTGAGATCTAAGAATCGTAGTTCCAAGCCAGCCCAGGCAGAGAAATCCAAGAGAATCCAAATAACCAGCAAAAAGCCAGAAGAGGATCTGTGGCTCAAGTGGTAGAATGCCAGGCAGCCTTGAGTGAAGAAGCCAATAGAGAGCATGAGGCCCCGAGTTCAAGCCCTGTGGGCTGGCACACACACAAAAGAATTCCTAGAGACTGTAGAAAGATGGTTCTAGAACCTGAGATCAGACGCAGTGGGGGGCGGTATCAATGGATATAGACTTTCATAGGTCTGAGTTAGAGGTGAACGTACAGAACACCATGGAACTGTACATTGAAAGTGATTCAAGCTCAAAATACGTTGTTCTATATTTACCCCCATTTAATTTTGTTAGAAGCCAATCTTATAGACTGAAATCTTTGTCTCTTTGTTACTTTACATTTAACTGAAAACAACAACAACAACAAATCAAGCAGACAGGACAGCTGGTTTCAAGGGGGTGGGTCTGGAGATGCAAGGGGAACTTTCGGTTGACACTGGGTGAGCCACAGTCAGGAGTCCTTTCTCCTTATGGTGTCCCCTCCCAGTGGAAGTCCCTCGTGTGCATTTCTGTGGAGTGGGCACCTGGTACCCAGAGCAGCCCTGGGGACAGGGGCTGGGGCAGGGACAAGGCGATCAGCACCTTGGGGGCTGTTGTGAGGCCTTTGGGCAGTCTGTCACTAGGAGGCGCCCTCCGGCCTGGGCCAGAGGCAGCGTGGTTCCTGGGGCCTCTTCTGTTGAGCAGCTCTGGGACCCTGGGTAAGTCATGAAAACTTTTCTTGGCTTCATTGTTCTCACAGATGGTGCAGCAGGAGGCAGGAGGGCGTTTCCACTTTGCGGGGCAGTTGAGTATCCAGAGACAGTATCATAGGAAGCGCCTTGTCTCTGAATTTCTGGGCTGGTGAACCTACTACATAGCCACGGCCCTCTGTTTCTTATCCCTCTCTTCCCTTCCTTCACTTTCGTATTTCCTCAGATCTTCCAGTCAGAACTTTCTAGACTTTTGGGGTCTTCAACTTGGGGCTGGGGCTGATTCCAGAAAAATCCATCTCATGCAATTCCCTTGTCTAACCCTCTTCTTCCCCTTCTTGGCTTCTGTCTGTTAAGTGGGGCTCTGACTTGTGTGTGTGTGTGTGTGTGAGCGCGTGCATGCACACATACACACACACACACACACACACACACACACACACGTGCTAGTCCTGGGCCTTAAACTCAGGGCCTGGTCGCTCTCTGAGCTTCTTTTTGCTCAAGAGTAGTACTCTACCACTTGAGCCACAGCTCCATTTCCAGCTTTTTTGGGAGGTTAGAGGAGATCAGAGTCTCCAGGACTTGATGTCAGCTTCCTGAGTAGCTAAAGTGGTAGGGGTGAGCCACTGGCACCTGGCCTTGGTCTCTGACTTTGAACTCTACCAGAAAGTCTTCCCAGGGGACTGTCACCATGACTAGTAGCCCAAGGGGATAGAGTTGGGGTGCTGACCATCACATGAGCTCATGAGGCCTCTGCAGATTTTTATTACTAATCTTCGCTGCTTGTGACTTCCAGTCAAGATTGAGGAAGAACCCTGAGATGAAGTTGTTCAGACTCTCAGGTTTTAAAAATAGAAAAGCAATGCAAGCAGCTGGGGAGTTCAAGAGCCATCCCATTCCGGGGAGCGTTGGCATGCAGGGACCAGGAAGGCTCCTCACAGCTTCCTCTTTCTTTAGTTAGGAGAAGTTTGTTCTGAAAGAGAGCAAAGTTGATTTTCTTTATTTACTGATGATTCTGGGGTTTGAATTCAGGGCTTGCAGATGCTAGGCCACACCCCCAATCCTTTTTTACTTGAGTTATTTTTCAGAGATGGTCTCGTACTTTCAAACCTAGTCCAGTATGAGACTTCACAGGGGACAAATCACTACACCTGACCTGTTTGTTGAAGGCTCTTGCTAACTTTTCTGTCCAGGCTGGTCTTAAACTGCAATCCTCTTGATCTTTGCCTTGGGGATTATAGGCATGAACCACCCCATCCGGCTCAAATTGATTTTAAAGTTCTAAAGGAGAAAAAGAAAAGATTCTGAATTAGGAAAATTCTGCTACTTTCGCCCTCTGTACAAAACAGCTGTCCTGCCCTCTGAGAAGGAGCCGCGCTGCCCGCCCATCCCTGCCAAACACCCACGTCTTCCTTCATCTCAGAAATGTTTCTGTTTCTGTCACACCTGAATGCAGAGTTACAAAATAAGCCTAGACTCACCTCACAGCTGTTCTTTGGTGACCAAAGAGAAGTCACCTAGTTGCTTCTTGTGTTTTCCATTTCTGGAAGAACAAGACGTTGCTTCTATTCTGAGCAGCTTACAAATGACAAATTTTTTAGGGGACCTACTAATTATCAGCCTCTACCACTTGTCATCTCTACTCTTCCCTTCTCTGTGCCTCAGTTTCCTCTCTCATCAAAGGAGAACCCTTGTCTCTATCCTCCCACAGGGAGCCACTGGAGCTTGAAGGAAGAGATTTTGTGTGAAAGTGATAGGCAAACCACAAAGTTGTCCACCAGATATAAGCTTTCATGGTCCTAAAGTCTGTTACTGTCTTCGTCTTCCTTTCTCTCCCTTCCTTCCAGAGCGGGGAGGTGTGTCGGTGGTGGTGACCACCATGAATGGGCCAAGGAAGGAACTCAAGGCCCATTTTCCCTGTGGAAGCCAGGAGTCCATATTATCTACCAGGGCTTCCTGAACAAATCATTGCAGGCTAGGTGTTGACACTATGAAATCCACTCTGTCAGGGTTCTGGAGGTCTGAAGTTGTGGATCAAGATGTCAGCAGGGGTGGGCACTGGTGGCTCACACCTGTAATCCTAGCTACTCAGGAGGCTGAGATCATGGTTTGAAGCCAGCCTGAGCAGGAAAGTCCATGAGACTCTTACCTCTTCTCTCCAATTAACCACCCCAAACCAGAAGTGGAGCTGTGTGGCTCAAAGTGGTAGAGTGCTAGCCTTGAGCACAAAACCTCAGGGCCAGTGCTCAGGCCTTGAGTTCAAGCCTCATAACCGACAACAACACAAAGATGTGGGCAGGGTTGGTTTCTTTGGCAGCCGCTCTCCTGGGCTTGCAGGTAGCCACCATCCTCCAGCATCTTCCCGGGTCCTTCCTTCGTGGGTGTCTGTGTCCACATCTCCTGTTCTCGCAAGGAATCCAGTCACTGGATGAGGGCTCACTCGAATGGCCTCATTTTAAAGGCCCTGTCTCCAAATAGGGTGGCATTGTGAGCTTCTGCCACTAAGGGCATCAGCATAGGAATTTGGGTAGACACCATTAGCTCCCTACAGAGACTTAGAAATGCCCTTGGCCCATAGTAGGCTCTGAGAGACCTGCTCAGCCCCTGCACTGGGCTCTGGTGGGTCAGAGGGAAGGGCCTGAGAGAATGCTCTGCCACACTCAGCCTGATGGAAGCTGCTGCAGGCTCCGCAGCCACGCAGAGCAGCGGAAAATCCCCGAGGGGAGCAGGGTTAACGTGATTATTTCCTGACAGAGCTGGGAGGGAGGCCTGGGCACACAGTTGCCCTCTGTCACCGTGGCTGCTGGGCTGCTTAGAAGATGTCTGATGAATGCTTTTCTTATCTTGTCTTTTAAAGCACATGTCCGTGGGGCTTCGCCAGGAAGAAGCTGGGGACAGAACCCATACATACCACATACTATGGAGCGCAAGATGGAGTTCTTCCAGAAGCTGGGTTACAGCCGTGAGGACGTGGTCAGGGTGCTGGGCAAGCTGGGCGACGGAGCCCTGGTCAACGATGTGCTGCAGGAGCTGATCCACACAGGTAGCCGCCCGGGGACCCAGGAGGGTCTACTCAGCAGCACGGGGCCCCTGCTGGTTCCCAGGGGCTCCTGTGGGGCCCTGAACTCTGCTCAGCGAGCACTGGAAGAGGATGATGGCGACCTGGCCAGTTCCCTGCGGCCCATAGTGATCGACGGCAGCAACGTGGCAATGAGGTAGCTTTCCTGAGGAGGCCGGGGCTGTGCTATTCTCAGGAGCCCTGAGAACCATCTTTCTATGGCCCAAAGAGCATTGACTCAGTCATTTATTATTTATTTACTTATTTGGTGCCAGTCCTGGGGCTCTAACTCAGGGCCTGGGTGCTGCCCCTTTGCTTTGTTACTCAAAGCTAGAGCTCTACAACTTGAGCCACAGCTCCAGGTCCTGGGGGGGGGGGTTGTTTTTGTTTTTGTTGGTAGTTAATTGGAGATAAGGGTCTCATGGACATTTCTACCCAGGTTGGCTTTGAAACTTGATCCTCAAATCTCAGCCTCCTGAGTGGCTAGGATTACAGGTGTGAGCTACTGGGACCTGGACTGGGCTTGGGCTGGGCTTTGGACTCTGATCCACCTCTCAGTGGCTGTATGAATTCAGCAAATTGCTGAGTCTCTCTGAGCCTCTCCTTGTCTGGAGCTGCGGGTTGGGGCGGGGCTGGTAACCCGGAGGAGCGCAGGATCAGGGGTTGGTTGTCCCTTTGCTCTATCACTAGCTAGCTGTGTGACTGCAAGATGGAAAATGACTTGAAAGCACTTGGTACCACTTCTGTGCCATTGGACCCTCCCCCTGTCTGCCTCAAGAGTTCAGCATCTGATGGGAAGAATTGGTTGAATCGTTTCTCTAGCCATCTGCTGTGGGGCTGGTGGGGGTGTGAGGTTGCTGTTACCTTGTTAGATTTGGGAGAAGTGTCTGGACTCCTCCTCCCTCTACCCCCAGCCCCCCACCCTGCTACCAGCTACAGATGTGGCTGTGTGACTCTGTGTGGCTTGGCTTTGTGTGTTTGGGGATTTGAACATGGCAGTGTTACCATGCCTGGTTTGGCTGAGCTGTGCGGGGACAGATTTCCCACAGATTCCCCTGGCTGAAGGCAGGGCCAGTTGGGAGTGCCCAGAGTTGCATCCTCCTAGTCCTGGGCTGAGCTACAACCAGGCAAAGGGCAGAGTCATCGGAAATAGTTCACTCATAGCTGAAAACTACACATGCTTTCCTGTTTAAATAAGCAAGTTACCAGCAGGAATTCAGAACAGCGGCTCTCACTGTGTCCACAGGTAGGCTGGGGGTTCTCCTGGGCCTTGGGGCTTACTTGGCAGAGCGGAAGTTTGGAATAGTTCACTCAGGCATGCCCAGTCTTGGGGGGCTGTCCCCACATCTGTTGCCTGTTGCGTCAAAGAGCATTTGCTCGTGTGTGTGTGTGTGTGTGTGTGTGTGTGTGTGTGTGTTCTTGAACTCAGGACCTTCTAGCTCTTGGTTAGCTTTTGGGTTCATAGTTGGCATTCTACCATTTGAGCCGCATCTCCCCTTCTAGCTTTTTGCTGGTTAATTGGACATAGAGTCTCTTGGATTTTTCTACTTGAGATGGCTTTGAAACCTTGATCTTCAGAACTTAGCCTCCTGAGTAGCTAAGATTCCAGGTATGAGCCACTGGCGATAGGCTTACTCCATTTATACCCAGCCAGTCTCCTTGATGTGGAATATGTCAACAGACAAGAGTCCTTGCTTCTCCACCTTCTCTCTATCACATTCTTACCCCACAGGGTAACAGATACAGAAGCCTGAGCTGTCCTGCTAAGTTCAAGACCTCTGGTTTGTTAACAAGACTTTTAAAAATTGAGTAATCTCTGAGAGGGGTGTAAGCATGGGGGATCTATCCTTTGAGTGATTCTCTTTGCTAGGGACCAATCAGAAAAGGCTTTGGATAGAAGATGATTACCATGTACATCAAAGTCCTTCCCAGTCTGAGATGATTGGAGTTCTTGAGTTCCAAATTGGAACATTAAAGTGGTCACAGAACACCAGCTTCTCTCTTTGGGGCCAGAGAATATCTTTGGAACTTGTTATAACAGGAGTCCACCGGAGGGCTGTCTTTTGGTGGAGGTCTCTGCCGTGGCCTGGAATTCAAGATTAAGCCATGTGCTTTAGTGCGCATGAAGTGCACTGGGTGAATCCATTTGGTCTGCCACTTCCACTCGCAACTTCCTTTAACCGTTATGAGCTTAGTCCTTTGCACTCACTCTGTGTGGCTTATAAAGGGAAATCATTACTGAAACCTCCTGCCTAAATGTTTTGACACACTTGCTGCTTATAAAAATACCTCAGCCAACCAGACTGTGTTCTCTGTACACACACACACACACACACACACACACACAAATCCCTGCCCCTCTACTCCCTGTCCCCTGGATTGTAACAGTTAGGGAAAGGGGACAAATTGCATAACCACTTAATTGTGGGACTTCATTTGCTTCCTTCAAAAGTAGGCTATGGGAGAGAGTGGGGGCCTAAGGTCTGCCCCCTTCCTGGCCTTTCCCCCTGCAGTGATGTTTACTGTGGTGCCCACTGGGAGTTTCTGCAGGATCCATGGCCCCCAGAGCCTGCTGGATCCTCAGCTGTGGAAGAGCTCCAAGCAGAGGGTCACCCTCTACAGACCATGGATAGTTGAAAGCCCAATGGGCATCTCATCACCGGCTGACCTTAGACTTCACACAGCGTTGAAAGGCCCTCCTCCTGAGGTTTGCAGTGTTTCACAGCCTTGTCCTCTGTCTTGATGTGGACCCTGCTGTTTGCGTGCTGTCTGGCTCTGGGGGAGCTGGAAGATCAAGTGTGACGTGGGTCGCTTCATGTGGCTGCTTTTGGTAAAACCCGGTGTCCATTGCTTGCTGTGACTCTGTCCTCGGGGCTGTGGTGGCTGTGCCTTGGCTTTCAGAGCCTGGCTTTTCAGTAACTTTTTTTCCTTCCTTCATGAAATTGTATTTCAGTAGCTATTATTATTATTATCTTTTTAGTTTGCCACTCCTGGGGCTTGAACTCTGGGCCTGGGCACTGTCCCTGAGCTCCTTTTGCTCAAGGCTAGCGCTCTACCACTTGAGTCACAGCGCCATTGCCCACTTTTTCTGTGACTAACTGGAGATAAGAGTCTCCTAGACTTTCCTTCACTGGGGGCTGCTGGTGCCAGGCCTTGTTCCTACACGGCTGGTGCTTGTGTGGTGTTGCATCGCATGGTCCTGCAGGACTCACAGACCCTATAGAAGGGCCATCCCTCTATCTGCCACTTTGCAAAGAGGAGGTGGCTCTCGCTGAGAACCTGCTAGGAGCTGTCTGGCAGTGGGCAGGAAGCTCGTGGGTTCTCAGGAGCTGCTGTGAGCACATGTCTTCGGTGGACTCCTAGGCCCCAACCTATTTTGCATTCTGTAGGCAAGTCTAGAAGAGGCAGCATGGAGGGAAAACACCCGGTGATTTCACATCCTCTTCTTGCTCCGGAGTGGGGCTTTGTGCAATGTGTTTGGAGCACATTGGCCTTTTTTTTTCAGGTTTGATGTTTTCATTTTAAAACCTAACAGACTGTTTCTTCTGGAAGGAATTGTCCACAGATGGGCATCCAAGCTGGATCTGTACTTTGGTTTACATATGACTTCTCAGGGAGGTAGGAAAGAGATTTTTGAGACAAAAATTAAGCCAGTTTTTGAGATAAAGGTATTGTTTTGAGAGAGAGGGTCTCCCTGTCTAGCCCAGTGTGGCCTCAAACTTACCGTCCTGCCTGTCTCCTGAATGCTGAGATTATGGGTGCCTATCACCATACCCAGCCCAGATAAGGTCAGACTGGCCTCTGAGCCTCTAGATCTGTTCTGATTAACTTGAGCCTTGAGCCTCTACCTAGGTCCTCATCCATGTCTGCTCTTATCATCAATCAGGGTGTCCAGAGCAGCGCCTACTCTGCCTCTCTTCCTCTGGCCTGAGCTGGGCAGAGATCTCATGCGAAGGCTCAGAGTGGTGACAGTTACAACAGGGCCGTTTCAACTGCCACCCATAAATAACAGCAGAAATAGCACCAGCCCTCTACCATGCCGACCCCGGAGCTCCCCGCCTCCATTTCTCCCATGGCCTTGCTTCCCGCTGGCTGTTTCGGGAGCTCCTCACCACTTCAGGGCCTTCTTGGGAACCGGTCAAGGGTACAGTGGTGTACAACCAGATTGTGTCATTTCTCTGAGTGACAGCCCCCCGCCTTGTGGCTGTCAGACACCAGCCCACTTCCCCTTTTCAAAACCTCAGGGCTCCTGTTTCCTTTTCTCATGGCCTTCTAAGCCGGTTCCCAGTGCATGTTAAGAGTTCCACCAAGGGTCCTCACCTGAGCAGGAGCTATTTAGCCAGAGGAGCTGCCCTGGGGGCCCCAGGGGTCTTGAGGAGACGGGAGGGAGAGCTGAAGGTGGCAGTCAGGTCTGGTTGCCTGGAGAGCAGAGTGCTGGGTGCGTTGCTTTGCTTCAGTTTCAAGGGGACAACGGAGGCGAAGGTCACTTCTGCAGGAGCTTGTGGCAGTGATGGAATGAGACTGAAATGTGCCTCACGGCCCGGCAGGCAGAACTCTCTGCACACGTGGGAGCTCACAGGAGCAGCAGGGATGCCTCTCCATATGGGCCTTCTAAACCAGTGCAGAGAGCAGGCATGGACAGCTTACGGTTTGTCCATGTCCCTGTAGGTGCTGGGATGGGACCCCAGCATGACTCAGGTCCCCTCTCCCTTCCATTGGTGCACCCCACCCCCAGCACTCTGAGGCCCGGTGGAGGCCCTTACTGGACTCTGCTCCAAGTGCTCTCCCCAGCAGCACGTGTTGGTTTACCCCTAGGCCCTCTGACAGCCCACCAGGCCTGCGGGCCTGCGAGAGGCCGATGATGGTGATGTCTGGGGATGTGTTACCTCAAGGCAGACATGCAGAGCTAGGATCACACCGAGGCTTCCAGCCTTGCAGGCTGTACTGAAAACAAGGCTTATGTTCCTGACCGCACCGTGTTTCTACAGGGCTGATCACCTGGAGAGCGGCCGCCTTCTCCCTCCAAGTCCTTTCCTTTTTCCTCCTGGGCTGGCAAGACCTCGTGTCCCAGTCCTTTTTCTTTCCCACAGCCCCTGCATTAAGGTATTCTCCCTGTGGTTTGTGGGAGTCTCCTGGCTCAGCCTGGATGTCTCCTCTCACTGTGGAGAACCCCAGACCTGGCGGCCACGCCAGGCTCCGAATGTCTTCCTCCTTCCCCTACAGCCTGACTTCCGGCTGGACAGCTTAGTGCTTCCAACTACATCCTTGGCTTTTTTTCTTTTCTATTTCAGTTGTGGGACTTGAACTCTGTCCCTGAGTTCTTCAGCTATACCACTTGAGCCACTTCTGGTTTTTCTGGTGGTTAATTGGAGATAAGAGTCTCACAGACTTTTTTGCCTGGGCTGGGCTGGCTTTGAACCTCGATCCTTAGATCTCAGCCTCCTAAGTAGCTAGGATCACAAACGTGAGCCTCTGGCACCTGGCTCCTTCCTTGTTTTTGTTTTTGTTTCTGTGTCAGTCATGGGGCTTGAACTCTGGGCCTGGGCACTGTCCCTCAGCTCTTCAGCTCAAGGCTAGCGCTCTACCACTTGAGCCACAGTGCCTCTTCTGGTTTTCTGGTGGTTTATCAGAGATCAAAATCTCATGGATGTTCCTGCCCGGGCTGACTCTGAACCGTGATCCTCAGATCTCAGCCTTCTGAGTAGTGAGGATTACAGGCGTGAGCCACCAGCGCCCGGCTCCTTCCTTGTTTTTAAAAACCTATGTCTGTCCTAGTCCCCAGAGATAATAGCAAGGGTGGGTCATGGATGACTTTGTGCGGGCCGCAGGCAGACATGGTCAGGGCTCTCAGGACGCTGCTCAGAGCCTGGCCTGCCTCTGCCTCTCCTCCGCCCTCTCCCTGTGCGGCAGCCACGCTGCAGTCTTGGCCCCTGGACCACCCATGTCCTGCCTTACCACGGTCTTTCCAGACGACTATCCCTGCTGCCTACACAGCTCATCTTCTCAGCACGCTTTTGTTCAGCCCTAAACAATGACCAGAAAGGCAGGGGGAACACAGTGGCGAACAAGGCAGTGGTGTGGTGCTGTGAGAATCCGAGAAGTCAGGGGACACCGCTCCCAAGGACATGAACACACAGCTGAGATTTGCAGGAGATGCAGGAGTGAATGAAGCCAAGGGGGAAGGAAGAACTGGTGCAAAGGTCCTGTGGTGAAGGGGTCAAGGTTGGTGTGATAAGGGGCTGGAGGAAGCAGAAAGATCTCCGGTCTGCTGTCTGTCTCCCTTCCCTGCAAAACACCGGGACCCCACTCCTCACCACACTCTCACTTCCTCCCCGGCAATCGGTTATTTCTGTCCACATTGTGGCTTCTACTGTTGCTCAAATCCTAGGCAACGAGCCCCAACTGTTACTGCTCACACCTCCTCCCTGAAGCCGCACATACCCACCTGGCAGTCACAAAGCGCCCCCCCCACAACTCAGCGTGCCTCCAAGACCAAACTTGTGAGTGACATTCTGCTTTTAACCCTATCTGCCTTCAGAATTCCTGTGTCCGTGAACAGCCCCCGTCCAGCCATGCCAGAGTGCCCTCATTCCACCCTCCACGGCTAATCAGAAATGGAGCTCTGGAGATGTGCCTTCTACATGGCGCTCAAGCTCACCCACATTTCCTCTCTTCTCTGCCACGGGCAGCTCAGTTCCCATCACCACGGCTTCTTAGCTGGCACCAAGCCCGCTCTGGTCCCTTCCAGTTTACTGCCCTGTGTGCTGCCAGATGAGGCGCGTGCGAGCAAGGGTTTGGTCTTGTTCAAGAAAGAATTCAAGGGCAGACCTGGGGGGAGACCAAAGCAGAAGCAGATCAATGAAAGCCAAGCAAAGTCAAAGCAAAAGCAAAGCAAACACACATCTTCCAGACAGGCGAGTGGAAAACCTCAAGGATGGCTGCCCCGGGGTGTGGGGTGGGGGAGTTCTGAGACTTCAAGCCTTTATTGGGGTCTGCAGGCATGGGGGTGCTCAGTCCTGGACAACCAGAGACTGGGTATCATCCACTCCTTCTGCATGTTGGCTGCAGGAGCAGCCAGGGGCTTCTGGCTCGGGGATGGCCAGACCAGTGCTGTCCTTCACAGGCTGTGGGTCAGCAAGGCTCTGCTGTGTGTCTCAAGCCATTCGTTAATGTGAACAGACCAGGCTGTGATTCCTCATGAAGACCTAAGCCAGGGTTTTCAGCCTCCAGGTGTCCATACGTCCTGCCAGTCCCTAGATCACTAGCGCTGCTCGTCTATCTCTGATGGAATCCACTGTGGGCTCGTGAAGGAGATGGCCCTGGAGACCTCCCTCTACCCTCACTGCTCATTGATGTGTCTGGTGGGATTTGTAGGGAGCTGGCCTCCTTGTTTGGGCTTTGGGAAACCCCGTAACACATTCATGGCCATCTCTCAGGACGAGAGCAGTTCTGCAGACGGCTCCACCCATCCATTCCACATCAGTCCATATTGGCTTTGGTTAAGGAGATGACTGATAGTGAATCCTTAGACAGTTTTCCCCCTTGGAGCCAGAGTATGTCTCACAGTTGCCTGGTCACAGTTATAGGCTGTAGTTTCTACAAATACATAATTTGCTAGAATATATTACTTTTTAAATTAATCTTCTTGTTTTGGGCAGTATGAGGGTTTAAATTCAAGGCCTTTTATTTGTTGGACAAGTGCTCTATCAGCTGAGCCATCCCCTCAGTCCTTTTTTTATTGTGACATATTTGTTTTTCAGATAGGGTCTCGTGCTTTTCCTGAGACTGACCTCAAACCGACCTGTGATTCTCAGATAACTGAGATTACAGACACACATCACTTTGCCATGCTTGTGTGTTAAATGGGGCTCCCGCTAACATTTTTGCCCAGGATGGCTTCTAATCTTGGTCATCTTGACCTCCTGAGTATCTGGATTTACAAACACGCACCACTGTGCTCAGCCAAGAATGCTCTGGGTTAGAGTCGCCTGGGTCAGAATTGTCTGGGTCCATCTTGATCATCTTGTAAGATGGCCGTTAGGAACCTTTGTCATAGCTCTGCAGATTTCTCTGTCTTTCTATCGTAGCCATGGAAATAAAGAAGCCTTCTCTTGCCGGGGAATCCAGCTGGCTGTGGACTGGTTCAGGGACAGAGGACACACGTACATCAAGGTTTTTGTCCCATCGTGGAGGAAAGAGCCAACACGTTCGGATACCCCCATCAGAGGTAGGCTGGCCCAGGCAAACGTGTTGGGGTGTGGTGCACTCTTCCTGGGTAATGCCCCCCACAGTGGCAGCTGGTTAGTCCGGGCTTAGTGGTATCCTCTCCTCAATGTATTCAAGTTTCCTGGGGCCCCTGATCTTGGCTTAGCCTAGCCTCTGGCGCAGAGACGTGCTCAATGAATACTCTTGACTCAGCGAATGGCTAGATTATCTTTGACTGTGAGCCATTAGGTTCCAAAAATAATTCTCTCATAATTTTTAATACTCTGAAGAAAGATTGGATCTGTATTCCTCCTGTCAGAGCCAATCAGATCTGAAAGAAACATTCATTCGGCCAGGCAAGGGTAACTTTTTCGGTACTGGGGATGAAGCCCAGGGCCTTGTCTATGATAGGCAAATGGCCTTCATACTGAACTAGATCCTCAGTTCTATTTCAGTTCTTAAACCAGGAATAAATAATCAAACTCTATGATTTAAATAAATAGGTTTTGTTTTTTTTTGGGGGGTCCGGTTGTGGGGCCTGAACTCTGGGCCTGAGCGCTGTCCCTTCAGCTCAAGGCTAGCACTCTACCACTTGAGCCACAGCGCCATGTCCGGCTTTTTTCTTTTTGCTTATGTGGTGCTGAGGAATTGAACCCAGGGCCTCATGCATGCAAGACAAGAGCTCTACCACTGAGCCACCTTCTCAGCCCCAAATAGGTTTTTTTTTTTTCCCGATTCTCTTATAGTAAGATGTCAGAGGCTAGACCATTACCAACCCAGGTCAGCAAAGTCAGCCATCAGAGAGTCGACCTCTGGGCCACTCTGTGTTTCACATTTATTTACTTATTCATTCATTCATTCATTTTTGTTCTGGTCCTGGGCTTGAACTCAGGGCTTGGGTGCTATGCCTGAGCTTTGTTTGTTCAAAAATGCTCTACCATGTGAGCCACAACTCCACTTCCCCATTTTTTTTTGGTAGTTTTTGGAGATAAGAGTCTCACAGACTTCCCTGCCTGGCCTGGCTTTAAACTGTGATCCTCAGATCTCAGCCTCCTGAGTAGCTAGGATTTCAGACAGGAGCTACCAGTGCCCAGCTCCATTATTTTTTATTTTAAAATAAAGTAATATTCTTGGCTTATGGATACAATATCTTCTTGGGCATTTGAAAAATGTGCTGTTAACTTCTATAAATTATCCTCTGGGATCTGGTCTCTGTTCATCTCTGTCTATCTCTGTGTCTCTGTCTGTTTCTCTGTCTCTCTGTCTCTCTGTGTGTGTGTCTCTCTCTGGTTTTTGTCCAGCAGTATGGTGATCTGTGTTTGTCAGTTTTTATTGTGAGTAAAGAACATATAAACCTATGCAAGTGCCAAGGGGTTTCTGTCCCTGAATATGGCTGCGTCCCTGAATAGCAGGGCTCACCACGAGTGCTGGCTGGCAGCCCTGCGGGGAACAGGCAGGCAGTGGGTGCCAGTGCCAGAATGAAGAGGATTCTGTTGGAGATCAGCACAGTGGCAGCCCTCTTTCTGGCTTGCTGTGTCTTCTCGTTCTTCATAGCGATTGGGTAGGCGATGAGCATAGGTTGGTTCCCTCTGAGTGAATGCACTGCTACACGCACCTCGGCCAGGCCCTGCCCCAGGGAGTAGCATGCAGCCTCCGGGGAGCTGGGCTCTGGCCTCCGCCAGCCTCTCTAGCACCACTTGGCAGGGTTGCTGTGTCTTCTCTGCTTCCTGTCTTCTGAAACTTCTCACAGACCTGAGTTTGCTGCTGTCCCCAAGTCCACTTTTGATATGATTGCATCTCTTCACTGTCATGGCTACAGGATTGGGGTGGGAAGGAAGGGAGTGCATGCTCACCTTTCATTCTCCTCATGAACCAGCGACTGCAAACAAGTCTTTATCATCTCAATGGGAGACTCGTGCCTCCAGCCATTTGGTTGTATAATATGTCATTATGATAGGGAGCAAAGAGTAAGAAATTATTTTATAGTAGGAAAGGAATTTTAAATAAGACACACAGAACAAAAGATAAATAACTTTTGTTTTTGTCTATTACGGGGCTTGAACTCTGGACCTGAGCACACTGTTCCTGAGCTCTTCAGCTCAAGGCAAGCACTCTACCACTTGAGCCACAGTACTACTTCCAGTTTTCTGGTGGTTAATTGGAGATAAGAGTCTCACTGACTTTCCTACCCAGGCTGGCTTTGAATCTCGATCCTCAGATCTCAACCTCCTGAGTAGCTAGGATTACAGGCGTGAGCCACTGGCGCCTGGCTTTGATAAATAATCTTGACTCTAGTAACTTAAAAAAAAACCTCTGTTCATTAACAGATACTAGAAACAGGGAGATAGAGACAAAGAGAGGGAGAGATACTAAAACTTGGGCAGGCTATACATAACATATTGCTTAGAGCTATAGGAATCTTCTATGAACCAGAAGTAAAAAAAAAAAAAAAAAAAAAGGACAATGAACCAATGGAAAGATGACCTAAAGCATGAATTACCTTGTGCAGAAAACATAAATGGCAATAAATATGTGCAAAGATGCCCAATCTCATTAATAACAAGAGAATGCAAGATAGAACCACTATAAGAGGCTATTCTGTACATACCAGATAGCCACAGTTCTTAAGAGATGCTCCCTAGGGAGTTCCCTGGGCTTCTGTCCCAGGGACTTAGATACACTGCTGACAATGAATACATGGGTCTGGCCAAGCCTTGCCCACCACATGGTGAATGAACAAAGCAGGTGTAGAAGGGCAAGTTTGGGGTGGGGTCCGGGGGAGGGGGCATGGCTCAAGTGGTAGAGTGTGAGCAGCAAGTGTGAGGCCCAAGCTTCAACCCCTAGAATATAGCTTACAGGATGATTCCAGCTGTGAAAAGTCCAATGTGTAAGCACACTGAAATAGTCTTCATACACACGCATTAAAAAAACACAAGCAAGGATCCTATAAACATTATGATTAACACAACTTGGGTTGTGTTAATGAGAGAAGACTGCACTGGGAATGGTAGCAGGCACTGTTCACGCAGGGCCGCCTACTTCTCCAAGTTTATGGCTGTTTAAAATTGCACTGTGTACCAGGATGCATTATGTATTTTTTTAGGCAAGTGCTCTGCCTTTTCCTTCTTTCCTTCCTTTCTTCCTTCCTACCTTCCTTCTTTCCTTCCTTCCTTCCTTCCCTTCTTCCTTCCCTCCGTCCTTTCCCTTCCGTTCTTCTTTTTTGGGAGGAGGTACTTCTGCTAGGCAAATGTTCTAGCACTGGGGTACACCCCCAGCTCATTAGCACACCCTCCTACACAGTCTGTACATCATGTCATGTTGCAAAGGGCCATCACTTGAGGGAAGAAACAATTTATGAAGACTATACTGCCGGGCACCAGTGGCTCACGCCTGTAATCCTAGCTACTCAGGAGGCTGAGATCTGAGGATCACAATTCAAAGCCAGCCCGAGTAGGAAAGTCTGGGGATTCTTATTTCCAATAAACCATGCACAAAACCAGAAGTGGCTCTGTGGCTCAAGTGGTAGAGCACTCACCTTGTTCTGAAGAGCTGAGGGACAGTGCCCAGGCCTATGCTGATATTCCATCTGAGTTCTGAGTCATTGTCATGTGTAGAAGAGATTTATATTTTTGTGTCTCAAAGGTAAAACTAAGGTCAAAGAGTAGGCCTCCCTTGCCGGATGCAGATGGTTAGCCCCGGACAGGAAGGACCTTGCCATATCTGTACATGCTGACCTGTCTACCTCCTTCCTAACTTGTACAAGAACTCGCACGCCCCTGAGCTTATAAGCAGTCTGCTTGTGATACTGTGGGATAGGTAAAAAGGTGTATTATTATTATTATTTGTCAGTTGTGGGGCTTGAACTCTGGGCCTGAGCGCTGTCCCTCAGCTCTTCAGCTCAAGGCTAGTGCTCTACCACTTGAGCTTCCTGTTTTCTGGTGGTTTATTGGAGATAAGAGTTTCACGGACTTTCCTGCCCGGGGTGGCCTTCAACTGAGATCCTCAGATCTCAGCCTCCTGAGTAGCTAGGATTACAGGCGTGAGCCACAGGCACTCAGCTTAGAGCGCACCTTCTGAATCCTGGACTCAGTAGACTCCTTTTTTTCTGTGCTAGGCATTGAACTTAGGGCTTTGCACTTGCACCCCCAGTCTTTTTGCTTTAAGTTTGTTTGCCAGATAAGGTTTCATGCATTTACCCATGCTGTCCTCAACTGAGACCTTCCTACCTCCCCTTCCTAAGTAGCTGGGATTACAGATGTGCACCACCATACAGGGCTTACTGCTCTCCCATATTGTGGGTATCATCCTCTGGACTGTGTCATGAAAGGCACAGTACAGATACTCAGAATCTCTGTGCGCTCAGCCTGCTGCAAAGTCAGTGACAGTGAAAGAAGTGAACCTCTGGGAGACTGGGAGCACCGTCGTTTGTTCCCCTTTCTGGAATCCTGCCTCCATCTTGCTGGCTGCGGCTGAGCGGGGTCTCAGGAATGGCTAGGGGGCTCCCTGGGCTCGTGGTCAGGGGTCCTTCCCCAAGACCCTGAAATGGGGTCTCTGCATGTGACCCCAGAGCAGCACGTGTTGGAGGAGCTGGAGCGGCAGGAGGTGCTCGTGTACACCCCGTCCCGCAAGGTGAACGGCAAGCGCGTGGTGTGCTACGACGACCGCTACATCGTCAAGGTGGCCTATGAGAAGGACGGCGTCATCGTGTCCAATGACAGCTACCGCGACCTGCAGAGCGAGAACCCCGAGTGGGGGTGGTTCATCGAGCAGAGGCTGCTCATGTTCTCCTTCGTCAATGACAGGTACGGGCGGCATGCAGGACGCGGGGCCGGCACGGAGGGCGCGGGGGGGGGGGGGGCTGGCACGGAGGGCGCGGGGCCGGCGCGGAGGGCGCCGGGGCCGGCGCGGAGGGCGCCGGGGCCGGCGCGGAGGGCGCGGGGCCGGAGCGCAGGGCTGGGCACAGAGCCGGCCTGTCCTTACCACTGGGCAGCCCAGGAAACGCGCGCTCGCTCTCTCGCTCTCCCTCTCAATTTCTCTTCCCTTCAACCCCAGTTCTTGTGCTCTCATCTAACTTTTTCCACTTAAGGCTGGTGCTCTACCGCTTAAACCACACGCACACTTCTGTTTTTTGCTAGTTAATTGGAGATAAGAGTCTTAAGGACTTTTCTGCCAGGAATGGTTTTCAACTTGAATCCTCAGCTCTCAGCCTCCTGAGTAGGCAAGGTTACTGACTACTCCCTCTCTTCTTATTTTCCCTTCTTGAACGTTGTTGTTGTTGTTTTGAATGCTATATGGGCGGTGAAGACCTTGACTGACTGGAACGGAGTGTGCACCCGGCTCTTGGCTGAGATGGACAGGCAAACCTGTTGGTTTGGCTCCTTAGACCTGGCCCCTGGGTCAGCTCGGCCTGGACCTATCAGACAGCTGCACCACGGGAATGGTGATCTGCACACTGACCTTGGGGTTGCCAGGCAGCAGGTGCCTGGGTGGGGGGTGCTGGGGTGAGGCTTGTCAGCTGCTGGGTCCCTGGCCCCGTGGTGCTGGGTCTGCACTGTCCGCTGGTGAGGCTCCCGGCACGGTCCTCCCCCACTCCCAGCCCTGCAGTGAGGAAGGCGAAGATGTCCTCCTGAGCCCCAGGACAGCTGCTGGGTGACAGTCCCCCCCCCCCAAGGAGGTAACCCTCACTGTCACTTCCAGAGACTCAGGGCCCGCGGCTCTCTTCTAAGCCTAGAAAGAGTGGCAAGTCTGGTACCTGTGGATTCCAGCATTGCTCATGGCGGGCTGGAGGGTTGTGGCTGCTTCTGGCCTGGTGACACCAGGGGCCTAGGCCAAGCTCCCATGCACTGGCCTCAGCCGAGGGCGGCCAGAAGCAGGGCCTGCCTGCTGCCTGAGCGAGCGAGGGCATTGCCCCGTGTCCCGGCCACGTCCCCAGGGCCCTCTTGGCACCGGTCCTGCTCCTGAGACTCAAAGCCACTGGGACTTTTAATAACTGTAGACAGATTCTTGGATTCTTGGTCAGGGCCCAATTCCGAAGCCAGAGACGCAGTGGGGAGCCGGGAGCTGAGCCCTCCAGGGACCAGGGATCACCCAGTTGTCCCCAGGATGGGATCTCAGCAGGATTCTGACTTTTAGGGAGACAGTAACCCATGGAAACAGCCTCTCCCGTGTATAGGGTTCACAGGCCTCCTCCAGAACCTCTGCACTGCTTAAACAGATCTCTGGGAACAGACTTTTTATGTATTTGTTTATTCATATCTCAGCCTCTTGAGTAACTAAGATTACAGACGTGAGCCATCAGCGCCTTGCCAAATGTATTTACTTAAAATGGTGGATCTCGGCAAACGGGAGTTTTCCTTCTGGAGGGCCGTTTTCCCTTTGAGCTCAGAGTATACGTTCCTATCCTGTGCCAAGGAGAGGGAGTTGCAGGCAGGGGCAGGCAGCCCCGAGCCCCTGGGTTTGCAGAGGAGAGGAGGGTCTGCAGAACACCAGCTGAGGTGCTGTGTGCCAATGGCCCAAGCCTCTGCTTCCAGGAGGCACCGTCAGCACTGACTCTCGCATGTGATGCCCAAGCCAAGTGTGGCATGGGATGTGGCACACAAGAGAGCATGCCTACACTATGACACCTTCTAGGAGCTATGAAGCCAAGGGAGTTCCCGATGGCTTGTGAGAAGCTGGGACGCCCTAGGGATGATGTCCGTTTTCCTGGAGGAAAATCACCAGGCAGTAGGCACAATGCAGAATTCTGACGAAGCAGGTACTTTTGGACTCAAGGCTAGTGCCTTGAGCCACAGCTCCACTTCTGGAGTTTTAGTGGATCATTGAAGATCAGAGTCTCAGGGACTTTCCTGCCTGGGCTGGCTTTGAACGGCGATCCTCAGATCTCAGTCTCCTGAAAAGCTAGGATTACAGGTGTGAGCCACTGGTGCCTGGCTACATGGGTACATTTTTTTTTTAAAGGAGTTGCTAGAGTTTTCTGGGCCTGCTGGCTTGGTCCCCAGGGGGAACTGTGTTGTGGTGTGTGGGGGCTCAGGGTGAAGGGGAGGGGGTGCTGCTGAACATGCCCTGGCAGCTCCTGGATGGATGGCCCGTGCTTCAGTGGGTGGCTTGGGCCTGTCCCCTCAACCTCCATCCAGATGCCATTGACTCATCTCTGGTTGTTCTTCAGATTCATGCCTCCTGATGACCCCTTGGGCCGCCGGGGACCCACCCTGAGCAACTTCTTGAGCAAGAAGCCGAGGCCCCCAGCGCCATCCTGGAAGCACTGCCCCTATGGTGGGTGGCACTCAGGCATCGTAGGCTCTGGGTTCTAACCCCGCATTGTGTCCTGAAATATCTGTGTGGCTATGGAGAGGAACCTAAGCTCTCGGGGCTGCAGTTTCCTGACAAGGCTCCTGGAAGGATGAACTGACATCTTAGACATGGTTGCGTGGCCTGGGTGCAGCGTGACATGGAGAGCCAGGCTGGGTCTGAGAAGCAGGAAAGCTGTGTGCCCCCAGCCTCTTCACCTGACCTCCTTGTACCTCATGTCCTCGTGCTATCCTCTGCCCCCTGACCTTTCAGACCTGACCACCGCAGACTTTGGTATGGGCTATCCATTAAGAGTTATGGATTAGGCTAGGTGGGGTGGTTCCTGCCTGTATTATCAGCTATTTAAGAGGTGAAGTAGGGACTCAGGGTTTGAGCCCAACCTTGACAAAGGCCGAAGGCATGGCTCAAGTGCTTCAGCAGCTACCTTACACGCTTAAGGTTCTGAGTTCAAACCCTGGGGGTGGGGGAGAGTTAAGGATTTGATCACCGTCAACCTTCCGGTCAGCTCTTTATCTTTGGCAAGTCATCTTGCCAAGGTCTTATTTTCCACAAGGCCTCGCATGACATTCAAAGTCACTTCTCGCTGAGTGTGAAGTTATGTTCAGGCTGGCCCAGACTGCTCCCTTTGGAACTCCAAAGGGCCTTAGTTCAGATCTCTTACTGATCAGCTCTGTTAGAACACCGCACTGGAAGAGACCAATGGTTCACACAAGGGATGGAAACAGAGGCAGAGCTAGAGGCACAATCCTCCCCGGGAGCACCCACACCCTGCCCCCAAGATAGTCACATCTGTAGGTCCCTGAGGAGATAGAGACTGGAGGTCACCAGATCCAGAGATTTGCTCTCAAGACTCTGGTCAAGGGGAGGATCCTGGACATATGGTCACACTGCTGACTGAAGTATCCCAACATCCTGGGGCTGGTGAGACTCGAACCTTCGATCGCTGAAAAGAGTCACTAGCACTCAATCAGGCTAAGAATCTTTTTTTTTTTTTTTGTCAGTCGTGGGGCTTGAACTCTGGGCCTGGGCGCTCTACCACTTGAGCTACAGCACCACTTCCGCTTTTCTGGTGGTTTATTGGAGATAGGAGTCTCACGGTCTCTCCTGCCCCGGCTGGCTTTGAACCGCGATCCTCAGATCTCAGCCTCCTGAATAGCTAGGATTACAGGCGTGAGCCACCAGCGCCCGGCTAAGAACAGTGAAGACCAGCAGCCAAGCTCTCTTGCAGCAGGGTTTTGAAGGGGCAAGCAGGTCACACACAGGTGGCAGTGTAGGTGATGACAAGCAGGTTTATGGAAGGGGAACTAGCAGTTAGTGATCACAAGTAACAATGAAGCAAAGCAGCGAGTCATCAAAGCAAAAGTTCTATTTCCAGGCTAGCCCTTCTTGCATTCCCGGGTTAGCTGACATTTATCAGAACGCATTCCAAACTTCTTATCACACCACCAAGATCAAACCACCTTCTGGGATTCCGGCTCTTTCTGAGTTTCATTGTCATTTACAGCTCTTAATTTGTTCAACTCCCTCCTCTGCTTTGAGGATTTCCTTTAAGAATGAACCCGCCCAAGCCCAGAGTTCAAGCCCCACGACCGACAAAAAAAAAAAAAGAATGAACCCGGAGTTTCTCTCTCCAAAGAGCTTCTGCCTTAGATGTTTCCCCTATTTCCGCTAGCTACATTGCATCTCCCCTTTTTCTTCTTTCTCTTGGTTCTGACAGTGACCTGGGCTCCATCACTGGTCCCACCCGTGCCCCTTCACCTGCCAGTCTGGTGGCACCAGGGCAGTAGAGTCTGGAGTGGTGGTGGGGTGGGTGTCTGCAGGGAGGGATCCCCACGGAGAGGGGCCACGTGGGTTCTCCCGTGGGGACCCCTCAGGCCCCCCCCTCACCCAGACTTCTCTCTGCCCCGCGGCTCTTAGGCAAGAAATGCACCTACGGCATCAAGTGCAAGTTCTCGCATCCGGAGAGGCCAAGCCACCCGCAGCTGTCGGTGGCCGATGAGCTTCGTGCCAAGACGCAGGCCCGGCCGTCAGGTGCAGCCCCGCCGAGCCCCCGGGAGCCTCGCGCCGAGGACCTGGCC